ATATATATATATATATATATATATTCATATATATATATATATGTATGTATATGTATATATACATATACTTGTTTATATATATGATGATATCTATATGTATGTATGTACATATGTATGGAAAGGTGCATATATATATTATATTTATGTATATTTTAATCACGTATATATTTTTATATATATACATATATATATATATTATACGGAGAGCTTGTGAATTCGCCCACATATACCTACGGAGCGCTGTTTACCTCTCGTTAATCTATACCGGTTGTCGATAGACAAATCAATAAACAAATGTAATTACTAACTTTTAGCTCGTACTGTTATTCTAGGTGCAGCTATTTAAATTGTATAACTACTAGCGTTCCTCTGCAAGTAGTATAGATAGTAACCCTTTTCTTGCACCATCCTTCTACAGATACATGCGTTAACTATCATAAATGATGTCATTGATGAGTTCTGGGCGGAAGTGTCCGAGTATGTGTCCAAAATCGAAGCTCTGTGTGAAGATACCACCTTCACGGACAGAGAGTTAGCTGCTCTAGTCGCCTCCAAGGTACGTTTGTGTAGTGTTCTTCTGTCGCATATGTCGTATATGTTCGTTGCTCGCAACTCCTTGAAGTATAAACATGTCGTGTATATTGTATGCACGTTAATGTATGTCGTACGCACCTTAGTTTGTCCTATGTTTTATATATACTGTTTGATGATGTCGTCTTCACGCACAGAGAATCGACTGCTCTTGTCCCATTCGCAGGTGGTTTATGTTTGTGTTTCGTATTTGTCGTATCGTATATGATAAGTTTCCCGCATATATTGGACGCCAAGAAGGTACAAAGCCAAGAAGGTACAAATCTATCCATGATCTATATTCCGTCTCTCTGAACAAGTTGTCGTTTGTGGCGTACTCAAAATAATATATATATATATATATATATATATTAGAAACGACCAGCGTGTTGTGGATCTCCCGTCATTCGTCGCCCAATCTTCTCACCAATATCTACACAATCTGCAGGCCTTGCACTGGACCCTAACCCCCCGGGGGGTTAAATAGTTTACTTCATTTTAACGATGTCGCTGACAACATACCTCGAATACTGATTTACCTCCACCCCAAACCATACCACAGATAAACTATGTATCTATTGGAAAGTTACAAATATACTATGTATCCAATTACAAATCACAGATAAACTGTGTATCCAATGGCATATTACAGATTAGTTATGTATCCAATTACAAATTACAGATTAGTTATATATCCAATGGCAAACTACAAATTAGTTATGTATCCAATTACAAATTACAAATTAGTTATGTATCCAATGGCAAACTACAGATTAGTTATGTATCCAATGGCAAACTACAGATTAGCTATGTATCCAATCAAAAATCACAAATTGACTATATCCAATTACCAGTTACAGATAAAGTGTGTATCCAATTGTAAATCACAGATAAACTGTGTATCCAATGGCAAATTACGGATAAACTGTGTATCCAATGGCAAATTACAGATAAACTGTGTATCCAATCAAAAATCACAAATTGACTGTATCCAATCACCAATTACAGATTAAATATGTGTGTGATTCTAAATCGAAGTATATCCATACATATACTTCCGCCTCTGACACCCCCCCCCCACTTCTCCAAAAAAAACTCCCCCGAAATATAAACTCCATTTATCGCAGATCTACTATCACCTCGGCGAGTTTGACAGCTCCTTGCTGTATGCTCTGAGCGCCGGCAGTCGATTCGACATCACACACAAGTCACAGTATGTGGAGACCATTGTTGCACAATGTATTGATGCGTACATAAGTGGCCGGCAGAGCGAGGATGGCGCAAGCATTGACGAGCGATTAGAAGGTGTGTATACGCGGGTCTATATATATGTATATATAGGTATATATTAATTAGGTAGGTATAAGTATGCGGGTATATACATCTGTATAGAGGTTCAAATGTTTTGTTGTGTGTATATTTAAGTCACAGGATGTCGAGTCCATTGTGTCGCAGTGTGCTGATGCCAATGAGCGACACGAGTGTATGTATGTAAGTGTGTACATATGTATATACATATGTATATACATATTTACACACACAAACACACACA